CCTCTCGGCTCTTCGGACCATTGTCTGATCCGGAGTATGGTGCCACTCACGCTCCCTTCGCGGTTGCGTTCTGCAGGTTGCCGCCGTGTTTGGCATTACAGGTCGGCGGATTGGGACGGAATGCGGTCTTTCTTTGCATCCTACCCATGGGGGCGGGTTTGCTTCTCGCCGGATGATCCCAGTGCTGTTGCTGACTCTGTCACTGATGTGGTGCTACAGGGAATGGAACTATTTATTCCATCATCTGTGGTACCCATCGGAGGCAGATCTCAGCCTTGGTTTGGTCGCTCCTGTAAGACTGCATTGCGCAGTAAGCAGGAGTGTTATCAAGCCTGGGCTGCGGCTTCGGTGACTCGGGATGTAAACACCAGCACACTTAAAAAGAAGTATAACTTCGCCTCCAGGTCCTTCAAAAGAGTTATTGCCAAGGCAAAGTTAGAGCACATAGGCAGAATTGGCGAGAAACTAGTTCGCCTTCCTTCGGGAACCCGTGCATTCTGGTCTCTCGCCAAGGCTGTCCAAGGGAATTTCTGTAAGCCATCACTACCATCTCTGCACAGGGAGGACGACTCACTGGCCCAAGACGCAAAAGACAAAGCCGACCTTTTAGGCTCCCTTTTTGCGTCCAACTCGACTCTTGATGACGGGGGGAAAATACCGCCGACCATCCCGCGGTGTGAGTGCTCCATGCCGGATGTGCTATTCTCACAGCGCTCAGTTCGCAAAGCACTTCTCTCCCTGGACATCCAGAAGTCGAGTGGGCCTGACGGAATCCCCCCAATTGTGCTGAGGACGTGTGCTCCGGAGTTGGCACCGGTCCTAACGCGTCTTTTCCGGTACTCCTACTCCCAAGGCGTAGTCCCGAATTCATGGAAGACAGCTTTTGTCCACCCGATCCCTAAAAAAGGCGACCGCTCAGACCCGTCCAACTATAGGCCTATCGCGATCACCTCCTTGTTCTCCAAAATAATGGAATCCATTATTAACTGCCAGCTCATCCGGTACCTTGAGGATCACCAGCTGATTAGTGACCGCCAATACGGTTTTCGTCGGTGTCGATCAGCTGGTGATCTTCTGGTCTACCTGACCCATAGATGGGCGGAGGCAGTAGAGTCCAAGGGGGAGGCGTTGGCCGTTAGTCTGGACATTGCGAAGGCCTTTGATCGGGTTTGGCACAAAGCGCTTCTTTCGAAGCTGCCTTCCTATGGGCTTCCCGAGAAATTGTGCAATTGGATCACCAGCTTTCTTGCAGATCGGAGCATCAAGGTCGTTGTAGACGGTGCATGTTCTGACTACAAGCCTATTAACGCTGGTGTTCCACAAGGCTGTGTGCTATCACCAACGCTGTTTCTTCTGCATATCAATGATATGTTGCTAACTGGTAACATTCATTGCTATGCGGATGACAGCACTGGTGATGCTCTATACACCGGCCGGGCCAATATTTCTCGGGAAAACGTCGCCGAGTACCGGAACAAACTTGTGTCTGAAGTCGAGTCTTTGCTGGACAAAGTCTCGGATTGGGGGCGACTAAATCTAGTCCAGTTTAATCCTCAGAAGACACAAGTTTGCGCGTTTACCGCTAAAAAGAACCCCTTTGTCGTATCTCCTCAGTTTCAAGGCACTCCCCTTCTTGTCTCAGCCAGTATCGGTATCCTCGGAGTCGACATATCGAGTGACGTGCAGTTTCGTGATCACTTGGAAGAGAAGGCCAAATTGGCCTCTAAAAAGCTTGGCGTGCTCAGCAGGGCGGGACAGTATTTCATGCCGGCACACCGCCTGCAACTTTACAAGGCGCAGGTTCGGCCTCACATGGAATACTGTTCCCATCTCTGGGCAGGGGCTCCCCAGTGCCAGCTCCTTCCACTTGACCGCATCCAGCGCAGAGTGGCTCGAATCGTCGACGACCGAGCCCTTTCCGATCGGCTCGATTCATTGGCACTGCGAAGAGATGTTGCATCTCTTTGCATTTTCTTTCGCATCTACCATGGGGAGTGCTCTGAGGAATTGTTCGGATTAATCCCAGCCGCCAAATTTCACGAACGCACATCGCGGCAGAACTCCCGATACCATCCACACCATCTGGATGATTGGCGGTCCACCACTGTGCGATTTAGAAGATGTTTTCTTCCTCGCACAATTTCCTTGTGGAATAGTTTACCACCAGGGATTTTTCCGGACCGATACGACTTAGGGACCTTCAAGAAAAGAGCCTACTCCTTTTTAAAAGGCCGGCAACGCATCTGCAATTCCCCTGGTGTTGCGGTTGTTCATGGGCGGCGGTAGTCACTTACCATCAGGTGAGCCGCATGCTCGTTTGCCCCCTCTCCTATAAAAAAAAAAAAAAAAACTGCTTGGCAGTGATTAACTCATTCTCAAGTTTTTTTTATTAATATTTATTACAAATAAAATTGAAGCGTCTGTTTGTAATATCAAAACAACAGCTTTTTAGTAATTGCATATGAAAGTATTTACGGTGGTACATATAACAAAAAAAAAAACATTTAAAATTACAGCTTTTTTACTAAATGCATATGAATTTTTACGTGGTAGAGCCATGCTGCAGCTATATTATTAGTATAGTTGTAGCACGAATGGGTCGGCTCGACCGGGGAAGGACCACGCTCTCACAGAATACCAGCGTCAAATAGCAGCTTCATGCTGCTGTGTTTCGTATGGTGAGTGTAGAGAACCGGAGACCCTTTTTACTGGAAAAGAGGCATTCTATCTTAGTCCTCACGAGTGACAACGCATCTGCATTTTGATTTGCAAACGAGGATAAATGTAGATGTCTATGGGCCACAGCAACCACTTACCATCAGGTGGATTGTGTGCTCGTTTGTCACCCTATCCTATAAAAAAAATGAAAGTAAATACGGTACTTATAACTAAAATACAATTTTTTAAATTTTGTCTGTCTGTCTGTTTGTTCCGGCTATTCTCCGAAACGGCTGGACCGATTTTGACGGGATTTTCACTGGCAGATAGCTGATGTTATAACGAGTGACTTAGGCTACTTTTATTTTAGTAAACGTATTAGGGTTCCGCGCAAAAAAATAAAATCCATAAAATCCAATCGTAACGCGGGCGAAGTCGCAGGGAACAGCTAGTAAAAAATAAGATTGTTGATAAATAGGTCTTGTGATTCTGGAACTTTATAAAGCTTTAGATTGCTCCATGAATAAATTGCTGACTTTGTGGAGTCGTGTAATTATGTGACTATGTAATCGATAATTAAATCTATTCAGGACCGGTTTTTATTCTACAGATATAATTTATTCATAGGATAAAATACATTTTAAAGAAAATAAAAATTACAGTTACCGGTACACCGTTACAGCCTATTAAAGTCCATTGCTGAACATAGGCCTCCCCCATAGATTGCCTTATAGGGGGGATATTTGCCATAGTTGCCACGCTTGGCAAGCGAGTTCGCAACGTTTTTTATTTTTAGTCGTTACAATTGTTCCCCGCGACTTCGCCCGCGCGTAATTTATTACGATTGGATTTCATGAGTTTTAATTTAATGCGCGGAACCCTAATTCATTTTCTAAAATAAAAGTAGCCTAAGTTACTTCTTATAACATCAGCTATTTGCCAGTGAAAGTCCTGTCAAATTCGGTCGAGCCGTTTCAGAGATTAGCCGGAACAAATAGACAGACAGACTAACATTTTATAAAATGTGTTTTTGTTATAAGTACCGTATATACTTTCATATGCATTTAGCAAAAAGCTGTTATTTTGACATTACAAATAGACGCTTCAATTTTATTTATTTGTATAGATATAAATTGAAAAATCAGTCATTATTCGTTCATTTTGTATCTGACGTCTACAGCTGTTTACAGACCTTTTCATGCATAATGTGAAAGATTACAAAAACCTTAGGCCGGTTGCTAAATTCCCAGAGTGCATGCCCTCGCACTGGTATGCCGCATCCGCATATAAGATTGGAGCGTTGTGCGATTGAACTTTCGATTTACGGCCGGTCTCAATTCCCTACAATCAGTTATAAGTAGATAGCTAACCAAGGTAAACAGTTAAGTTTAAACTATCTGTTACTGTCGTCTCAATATCGTAATGTTCGAAAGCTTACTAGAGATAAAAGGCAGATAGTTCATGATAACTTTGGTTAATGCGTCCCTCCTAAGCGTTTTGTTTTTGCTTCGAAGTGAATTGCGTCGCGTTCTACAAGAAAATATAATGATGTATTTAAAATATTATGATAAATATATAATGTTTTTAATTATATTTGTTATTATTTCTTAATATAATATTGGCAATTATCCTTTATACACATTTTTAAATTAAGGCTTTCTTCAAATAATGATAAACTTTTATATTAAAATACGAGGAAACGATACGAAGCAACAAAACACAGCGCTTGGCGTTGCTTGACTTGACAATTGACGTTGACATTGACAGTTTGTGTACACCACCACAACCAAACCTCAAGAAGCTCAGCAGAAATATACTACACATAATATAATTGTTTATGTGTAGCATTAATTTATTAGCGATAAACATTAACATGGCTCAACAAAATACTGTAAGTATTGTGAACTCTTTGCCGTGATATATAAATTTACAGTAATGTTACAAAAGCTTGAGTCTTTGTCTCAAAGTCGCGCCAAAAATGTAAGACACCTGTAAAATTTTGTTTCAGATGAAGACAAGGGCCCTTGGTAAGGACGAAATACTCTTTCTGCTTGACTTGATTTCCAAGCAAAAAGTAATTACTACTAAAGCTACGAATGCCACAAATAATAAATTAAAGGAAGAGGCTTGGAAATCTATAGCGCAGGAGTTTAGTGCGATGGCGGGAGAATTGCGGCGTCCTGAGCAACTACGCTTAAAGTGGGAAAACTTAAAGAAGTCGTCAAGAAAACGCAATGCATTGATAAGACAAAATAATTTAAAGGTTTGTAATAAGTACATACATTAAATATTTTGTGACATTTTGTTAGATATACCTAATCATCTTAGAATTTTTTTTTAATGTAATATTTCTATTGAAACATTTTTATTTGCAGACTGGAGGTGGAAAGATGTACATCCCTCCCGATGAAGCACTAGATCGTGTAACATCTATGTTAGGTGCAACATGCACGGGGTTCACTGTGGAATTTGGTGGTGATGGGGAAAGTGAAATGATTCCACCAGATGCAGTGGTGGAACTCATGGACTTACAACCTTTACCGGAGCATTCAGAAGCTGTAACTAGTGATTTGGTGATGCGAGATGGTGGTAGTGCTGAGTGTAGTGGTAATAGTGAGAAAATTTTCACACCAAAAAGATTTACTTTTAATAATCCTTACAAACCCTGTAAGTTGTAGCTGTAATATTTAACCTCAGTTGTTACTAGATAATTTATAATTTTGTACAACCAACTTCAATATAAATTATTAAGAATAACTCAAAAACTATTGGTCAGACCTTGATCAAATTTATATGAGACCACATATGAAGCACCAGCTTTTAAATAAAAAAAGAATCATAGAAATCGGTTCACCCAGTAAAAAGTTATGAAGTAACACACATAAAAAAAACATACAGTCGAATTGAGTACTGGCTCCTTTTTAAAGTCCGTAGACAAAACAGACCACCTCTCTATGGTCTAGTAGTGTGATTGCTTGTTGCAGGTTTTGCTACAACTTTGTGTATTTTTTTCTGGTTAATGAGGAAAATCTAAAGGCTTACCACTCAATTGTCTGACAAATAAGATAAATTGTGAAATAGGCTATAGTAGTTGGTTCTGGGTAATCTCTAATGTAGTTTGGATAGTAGTTGTTACTAATGTTTTTTTATGTCATCTCCTATGCCCGATCTCTGTGGTCATCAGTCATCAATTCTATCAAGCTAGGAGAGTGTAAAATATGAGAATTTAACTATGTTTTTTTTTTCACAGTAAAGAAACGCCAAAAACCCTCTGAAGAACTATTACGGGCTCAGATAAGCAAGGAATTAGCCATGGCTGCTTATTTTGAAGCCAAAACTGAAGTGGTTAAACTTGAAAAAGTTAAACTGCAGCTAGAAATAGAAAAATTAAACAAGTGACTTGTGATTACTATAGTACTAATGTTAAGATTTTGTAAATAGTGATAATAAGGTGTATTTTTTATAAATTATGTAATGTTTTTGTTAAGTTCATTCTAAAATAAAATCTATTTTATACATTGATTTTTATTTGACATTTATTAAATAAAATATATATTGAAATAAAGCACATTTATTCTAGTATAATTTAACATTATTTACACATTAAAATTCTTATATAATTAAACATAATTTAAACACTAAAATAATTATTAATTAGCTGTTGTCTGACACTGTGATTTTGTTGACCTATCCCTTCAGCATAGGTAATGTCACCTGATTCTTGCGGCATTGCAACTTCTGGATCTACATCTCTAATATTATTTAATCTGCAGATGTTGTGTAATACAGAAGTGGCAATAATAATGGCCTGTGTTGTCTGCATAGCTACACGGATTTTTAAAGAGAGTATTGGAAAGCGCCTTTTCCACACACCAAAACATCTGAAAAGTTACAAAGTATTTTATATTATATTCATGAAATTTAAAAAAAAAATATTAATAAAATAATATTTACCTTTCAATAGTATTTCTAGTCTTTATATGTGCTTCATTGTAATGATTCTCTGCAACAGATGTGGGGTTGAGCAGTGGTGTCAAAAGATATGAAGTACAGGGATATGCACTGTCTCCAATAAGCCATCTATTGCCAAACAATCCCTCTTCACATTGCACTGAAAATAAATAACAAAGAAATATTAATCATGTTTATGTGATGACCTATTATTATAATCTTCTAGATAACTAAGTACCTACTTATTTTTTAGCCTAGAGTTGTTAAATATAGTAGCATCATGAGCAGACCCAGGCCAACGGGCAACAACATTCATAAATAACAAGTCTGCGTTACAGACTCCTTGGACATTCATTGAAAATATGCCTTTTCTATTTCTGTATTCTTCTCCTATATTTGAATCTGCAAAAATTATGACTGTTATTAGGTATAATCTATATAAATAAATGAATCTATACTTAATAATATTATAATAAAGAATTGTATGCATGTTTGTAGAAGTTGATCCAATTCTGGCCAAACTTGGATTAAGTTCTACGTTTGAGTTTCAGGTCACTAGATGGCCTACGAAAAAGATTCTACCTAGATCTACTTTATATAAATATTTATTTATTTGGTACTACTAACCAGGTGACTGTATGGGAACATGCGTGCAGTCAATTGCGCCAAGAATTCTTGGAAATCCTGCGATTTCATGAAAGGCATTCTGGGTATTGCTTAATGTCTTCACATATTGAGGGTATAAGCCAGCTATAGCCCGAGATACATGATGCACAATTCGGCTGGCTGAAGCTTTCGATACACCAATAAAGTCCGCTACTGATAAAAGCATTGTTCCCAGTGCATAAAATCTCAAGGTCAGCAACAACTGATGTAACGGCGATATTCCATTATTCCTAAAATGTTAAATATAAGTAAAAAAAATCACAATAACTGTCATTCATATTATGTTGGGTGGCATATTTCGACGATACATATAATGTAACCAAATTTTGTTCACAAGTTTCTTTACTCACCTTGAAGAAATTACTTTTAAGGATGGTGTTATTTTCAATAATAACTCATCCACGGACGTTTTATTTAATCTAAATCTATATGTAAATTCAGAGTCAGAAAATTCACTTCTGTAATTTATTCGATTATAAAGTCGGCGATTTTCAGTATCTACAATACCTTCTGAATCAAAAACACCTATCTCATACATTTCATTATCACTTTCATCACTGAACAAATCCATTTTTTAGATATTAAATAGGTTTTATTTATTTAAAATCACGACAAATATTTGCTAACTCTCAAAATTGGGCGATAGACAAAACTCTAACATCTGGTAATTTGAACTATCGCCAGTTAACTGCCAATACGTTATTGAAACAGTCAGATGTTTTTTTCTATGAACCCACTTAACTCAGGTAGTCGGTAAGTCCTCCGAAGGATAGATCAATGTGATGGTTAAACATTTCTATCTATCTTTGATTATTGAAACGGAAAAATGTAACTATAGATACCAATGGTAGCCATTTTAACTTCCAGTAAGAGATAGATCAGTTATTGAGACCGGCCGTTAATATACCGCCAGCTATCGATCGCCAGAACATCGTTAGCTAGTAGGGTGCGAGTATTTGATTTTACCCAAGAATAATCAGCTAGTAACGTGTAAAAAAATTATCACTTATGAACTACCTGATATTTTTTCGACTGTTAACTAATATTGTGCCATTTCGGTTTTCGTCCCGTTAATGTCGTAAGAGGCGACAGAGGGAAATTAAAAGAAAATGAACAGCAGCATCTTCCTGAAGAACTCGAAATAATAAAAATCTGCGCTTGCCAACCCGCGTGCCAAGCGTGGCGACTATGGCAAAATCGTCTCGATGAGGCAATTTATGCGAAAGGCTCATGTTCAGTAGTTAACTTTTATAGGCAGTAATGGATGTAATGGATGGTGTCGGCTGAGACTGAGGATTCGAACTTTCACACATTCGAACGTGACACAGCAGTCAGGTACTCCAACCGCTGAGTCACACGATCGCCAACATCATCAATTCATGTTGGAAAGTGTCTGGCATTCCTCAAATAACGGCATGTCTCGAAATATTCTAATTTTAAAGAGCTGATCATTGCCCGCGGGCCGAAATCGAGCCAGCGCACGGGAGTGTAGTGATGTTCGGATTTATATCGATAGTTGAAATTACACTTTACATTATTCAGCCTATTCAAATAAATACAGCAGTTTGTACACCGATAAAATCTAAATTGTGGGTAGAACGATACTACTATACCGATACATCAATCGATGTATCCGTAAAATCAATATATATTTTATTAATAGTCAGCAAATATTTAGTAAGGAGAAAAGACATGCAAGATATAGTATAAATATTTGTGACAAGTCGGTATCAATACTTCAAAACAGCAGTATTTTCAACAGTAGGCTTTCCAGATTTCTCTGCTTTCTTCGTTCTTTTAGCAACAGTTCATTTTAAAATTTGAATTAATATTTTCCTGATTTCATGTTGCAGTTTTTTCTCATCGCATCGACCTCGCTATCGGTATTACTGATTTTTTTATAGGTATTACCGATTTTTTATCGGTATTACATCGATAAAATGATCACCACTAAGAATTACAATGGTGCTTGGATCGCACGGTCCGAGTTTCTCGCGTTTGTGGTATTTTCCGAACGTAAAAATGACTTTCAATGTGAATTATTTATAAATCTACATTGATATAAAAACTATTCTATTTTATGCGCACACCTATAAAATTTAATAGAAACTGTCATGAGCTACGACTTCATCTCAAAATAAGATGTTTCTTATTTTTTATCTACATTAACAACACTAGTCACATTCCCCTCTCAGTGGCCAGACGGTAATTCGTCACGAAAACGAAAAGTTTATGGATGAGGGATCTTCCCATTCACGCTATATTTAAATGACTTATGTAGGTAGACTTCTGTAATCGGAGCCACATATACCGAAGCCTTTGAAAACACGCGTTTATTTGTTTGTAAATTTAAAATTAAGGCCATTATCGCCATGGTTCTCACCACTCTGCAAAGGTTTACTGGGCTGGGCGTAAGCCTTTCATAGGTTGTTTCTCCACGCTCGGTAGTTTTCCTTTTATACAAACATACTTTATATGTATCTACATAATATTTATTACACGCCGAGCCGTCATAAGAATTGAATTGTCGATTGCAGAACTAGAATGCCTCGCACTTTGAATTTATTTACTTTTGATGTGTTTAAGAAGTTTATCACTCAGTCTCATAAATTAATCTTTTTTATTTTAATTTTCGGGGCATTTCCATAAGTCAGCCGTTACAACATAACATATTTTCTTATACGATGAAAAAGCAGATGAAAGGCGTGTAAATAAGGAAAAATACGTGGTGACGACTTAGAAGGGGCTAACGAGCATGCGGCTCACCTTTTGGTAAGTGACTGTCACCGCACATGAACTACTGCAACACCAGAGAAATTGCAGGTCCGTTGCCGGCCTAATAAAAATTGAGTAGGCAGTTTTCTTGAAGGTCCCTAAGGAAGTTGTGTAAGGAAGAAAATGTGCTGCCACCTTTACTTTAGTGTGAGTGCGCAGTGCGAGTGAGACTACGATACACTATAAAATAAGTAAGTTAAGTTTGTGTCAATGGGCACTTGAATGACAAAGAAATTGTAATTAAATTAAATTTATATTTAGCTACAACATAACAGTTCTTCGGTTCGGTTTTTTCTAAACGAACATTTTTGAAAAAAAAAAGGCGAACTCACAGTCTACCTGATATAAGTGGCAACTAGGAGTTTTCTTCCTCACACAACTTCTCTGTGGAATTGCACCACCGGTAATTTTTCCGGACCGATACGACTTAGGGACCTTCAAGAAAAGAGCTTACACCTTTCTAAAAGGCCGGCAACGCATCTACAATTCCTCTGGTGTTGCGGTTGTTCATGGGCGGCGGTAGTCACTTACCATCAGGTGAGCCGCATGCTCGTTTGGCCCCTCTTCTATAAAAAAAAAACTGCAGTACGTGGACGCCTGCAGTCAAATTCAAACAAAGGTCTTTGAGAACTAAAATAGAATGCCTTGCAGCTTGTCATTAGACTGTCTCTCTGCACCCTTCAGATTGGCAAGCAAGCAATGCTATTTGGCGGCAAAAATAGGTAATTCAGAAATTAATATCGGAGTTGTAAGGGAACACCACACGTTTGGCAACCCTACCAATATAATTATACCATTTTTTTTTATGTAGACGAAATTTCTATATTGTAGTAAAGATGCAAAAGTATTGCTTTAAAATAAAATATCAATCTAAAACATACATACTATATTATGTTTTTCTTATAAGTTAGGTAAAAGCCTCAAAAATAGTAGTAGTATAATATTATGGTGTAAATAGGTTGACAACCCTAGCCACACTAATTGTAGTGGATTTCACATGCGCGACTTCACATGCGAGTGCAATTTTTTATTTTAATATACCGCTTACACTTTAGCTTATGGAATCTAACTCATCTTGCTCACGTACTATAAAATTTAAGGCCCCCTAAACTACCAAGACTGTAAGAAATATATCTTCATCTATATACGTCAGTGGTATCGCCCGCAGTAAAGTTGCACTGAGTGACATCCTGTCATTCATTACTCTTCGCTCACTGATGCGTTGTCAAGGGCTTAATAGCGACTTTTTTTGAGTCAATTGTTTCAGTTACAAACCGGTTTGTTCTGGAATTACTGGAGCAAAAAATACACACGTTCTTTATAATTCAAAACTAGTAAATATATTAACCTATACATTTAAACAAAATTGAAGTGTCTGTCTGTAGTATTGAAATAACTCGCATTTTTTTTAATAATAAGACTTAAATAATATTTCTTTAAATTTTTGTCTGTCTGTCTGTACGGGCTATTCTTCGGAATGGCTGGACTGATTGAGATGAATCTATGCGAACAGATGGAGAGCAATGCCAAGAGGGATCAAAGCTATATTTTATACACGGATAACTTCACAAATAAAATAAAAAGTTGGTAAAATAAATGTCCTTTCATTATTTTAAATCTAAATACCACACCAATAGACCGGATCGCTAGTTTTATAATAAGGTTAAATGTATCGTTAAGCAGTGAGTGTACCTGCTTGCTAAATCTGTGATCCCAGTTATAGTCTGTTACGTCTGTTAGTTTCGTTTTCTTTTACTCTATTTTGACTTTGACAAATACGACATAGACGAAACAAGGAGAAGACACGAAAGTCGTGACTGGGGGATAGGATATACCTAGGAAAGGATTGGACTGACAGGATTCAATTTCAACAAAAGAGCTAAAGCTCTTGCAACATACTTGCCATTCGTCTGGTATTGTGAACGTTCATGACCAGCGGTAGTTACTATCAGATTTACTGCATACACGTTTCGCCCCCTTCTAGATAAAAAATATGTCTTTCTATATGATGTTTAAAACTTAAATGATCGAAATATGGAATTTTGTAAATTAACAGAGTCTAGTTGCAAAGGAAAATGGGTTCAACGCACGCACGTGCCCTGATAAGTAGTGATTTCTTGTTTAAGACTTATCCGATAACAAGCAATGAGTCAACAGGTCGACACGCTCACGAGTAGCCTATATGACGAAAGGCTTTAGACATAAAGGAATTAGTTAAGCATAGGTAATCCCTGTGATAAATATTTAACGTGATATGATGAATCAATGAATGTCAAAAGATATTGTAAATCGACTACATACCACTTTTATACGTGGTAGTATTAGTAGTATAGTTGTAGCACGAATAGGTCGGCTCTACCGGGGAAGGACCACGCTCTCACAGAATACCAGCGTTAAATAGCAGCTTAATACTGGTGTGTTTCGTATGGTAGGTGTAGAGAACCAGAAATCCTTTTTTCTGGAAAAGAGGCATTCCATCTTATAGTCCTCACGGGTGATAACGCATCTGCATTTTGATTCGCAGACGAGGATAAATGTAAATGTCTATGGGCCACAACAACCACTTACCATCAGGTGGACTGTGTGTTCGTTTGTCACCCTATCCTATAAAAAAAAAAACAAATATAGGTGAGTTTGAGACAGGCGGCATCAGAACTGAGCAAATAGCACAAATATGTATCTTAGAGAAATGACAACATGTTTATATGCCATTTGCTGTATAGACTATTGATCCGTGCGATCCAAGTGCGGTGAAGTTCCTAAAAGAACTGTATCCACGACTTGTTATCGCAGCTAGTGATAAGAGCGCTGATTCTTTTCTCGATAAAAGGCTGAGTATAGCCCTTTACCTTTAACTTTAGTTTCTTTTTTAATTATTATTATAAAAATTGTATATTTTTACCAAATATAATATAGTAGCGATTCGCACCCGCTTTGTATGGGTAATTTTTTGGACCTAAACCAGCCAGCGACCCACTCTAACACAAGACAAAATTTCATGAAATTCCACAGAACACAAAAAGAATTAAAATTTCGTTAATTTTTTTGTGTGTTTAGGAGTTTAGGGCTTAGTGACAAACACACGTACATAATTATATATATATATATATACAAGTTTACTTGATATAAGCAACAACAAAACTTTTTTTCATATTATTTAAATTAAATATTGATTTAAATAAAAAGAAGGTAAGAACCGCTACTGAAACCATCTGTTAACCAAATTTTGAACGTACACTGTGACAATGTTTATGGTAAAACGACTTCCTATATACATTTCATCTCGTATACAACTAGTGCCTAGCAGTTTATACCTACGGCCATTTTTATACTATTGAAAATTCCTTCAATCAAAACTTTCTTTTTGCGTTTGCATCTTACTCACAAGACCGGTTCTTTGAAACTATTTCTGATAATATTTATATATTAGTTTAGTAAACCGTCCAGCACATCGCCAGTTTTGTTCACAAAGTTAAAAAGATGTATGTGATACTAAATGTATAAAATATTTTAGCACGTGAACGAAAGATGAAGAAAAACATAATGAAACCCGCTTGTTTGAAAATTAAATATAATTCGGAAAACATGTTTTACGAAGTATTCTTTGGCTATGGAGCAGCGGTGTGCATTTTCTAACCGATAAACCACTAGAAAAGTAAGCCTGTGCTCCAAAC